CAGTTTAGCGCTAAACATGTCTAGTCCGTTAGTTTGTGTAGTATAAGCTCTAACGTATAACTATTTTCTTAAAATTTCAGCTACAGTACCTAGAGAATGTGTTCGCATTTCAATTTCTAAAGAGACTATTAATTATTATGCTGCAATTGAAGGGAATTGGAGGCCACTCGATAGTCAAGTAAGTATCGATACTCAAGCACTCTTCATCGGTGTTCGATGGAGTAACGGAGTAAGGTTCTACGACTCTCTGTAATCCTGATACCAAGTTCTGCAGTTCGGATCCCAAGGGTGATGGTTGTCGTTCCCGGAGCAGAATCAGTCGAATCCAACCTAAAACCGATCTTCATCCGATCCGTTCAACAAGTTTCCAAACTCAAAACGATGCTCAAAACCTCAAAACTCCGAAGACAAGTTCCAGTTCCGATGGGCGATGAGCTGTCTGTCTCAAGAAGGCAGACATAAACCTGTATTCGATTATAAGTAGGAATGATTATGAATGTGTTTACAACCAAACAGTGCATTCAGGCATTCTTCCTTTGACTTCTACGAAACAATCGACTCGACATGTTTAAATTGATCTGGAAGTACTGTATGACTATGAATGCAAATGAACTGAATGAAGTACAGTAATTCTAGTTTAAAAACTCGTCCAAACAGGCATAATTCAATGCTTTCAGTCAAGGAGCAAATAAATATTTTTGGACTGAGAACATACTTCTTCATTCGACTAATCCCATTTTTATCTCTGATCTGTTGGACGTGTCTCGGTCTCGGATGATACCGGAAACGGATAATCCAACAGCATGAGGCGGCCAAAGCGAGCACCGAGTATCAGGAGATGAGGACGCGGTAGGAATCTAGACCGAGTAAGGTAACGCCTCAATATAGTACTGGTATGTACGAGCAATAATAGCACTAGTGTTTATTTAGCCAATGGTTGATGTATGTATCTGCAGATACTTTCGAGTTTTAGCATACCCTTCTCAGTCAGGCTAAGTTGAAATTATTACAAAATAAATACGTCACATTTATATTTAAAAAATTGTATTTACGTTCACCGTCTGGTTTATTTTCCTTCAAAAATTTCAAAATGAAGTAACTCCTTCATACTCGAATAGGCATTCGACTTGCATTGCTGCGCGTGTTGTTGTTTCATGCAGAACGCAGGCTAGCTAAGTAGTTTACGCAACGATAGCGTAAAGATAGTGCGACACGAATTAGAAAATTTAAGGTACGAGCCTTGGCGAGTGCCTTGAAAACTTATACGAGTGTCGTTAACACTATTTACGCGAGTTGCGTACACTACTTACCTACGATAGTGTTTTAATTATAAAAAAAAATCACTACGCATAACTTCTAAGAGGTTATGTTTTAGTTTATAACCTCTGTTCAGTGATGCAACAAACGTTACGTTGTACGGAGTATGTTTTATCTATGGTTGTACCAAACCAAACACTAACTGCACCATCCAACAATGAAATTGGCCTATACAGCTTATAAGTTGAAGTTCGAAACATTACAATTTTACTTCTTCTCTCTCAACCCTTGAACCTCATTGGTACGTTACCCGTTTGGTTGTTATGAGTAAAACCTGGTCTATGGTAAAACTATGCTGTAAGTAAACAATGCTGTTATGTGAAAATTTTCAATTTTAAGAACTAAACTGAAACGGCTACTTTAAAAACACTAGTGTTTATGTAGTCAATGCTAGCACACCTTTATACCAAATTTCATAAAATGGGATAATTCTTGCTCAAGTTTCGCGCTAAGGGATGCATACACATAAACATTTATATATACAGTACCGGTATTATAAATATTTCATTCGTATTATGAATGTGAAATGTAAACGTATGGTGTTTTGGGCCTTTGGTGAATTCAAGACGTAGGCCTAACATCTAGACAATCCGCTAAAATGATAATTTATTAAAGTCCAGTCCGGTCGCGCAGTTCCTCTCATTCGGAATGACTGGGACGGTAGCGTCGTCTTGTAATCCAGCTACTAGGAGGTCACGAAGTGTGGATCTTGCTCGTTGATTTATAGGCATGCACTGTGGATGCGATGCTCCCTGGTTGGATTAATATCCGCACTATACTCCGTTCAAACAGCCGTGGCGCCTGACGGATTAGGACACCCCATGGAAACCCTTGGGGCCTCCTAATCCATCAGGTGCCACGACTGTTTGAACGGAGTATAGTGAGTACTACTATCCGCAGTACTATCCTGATAATTAGACCTATTCGTTAATTACAAGGAAAAGATGTGGTTCGTATTCCACTATAAAACTGTAGGTCCCTAGTTGCCATTGGCTGTATCTATCAATTAACAGCTGTCTAAAGAACATGTTGGCATTGCATTAGTCAATAAAAAGACCACTCATCCTACACTTATCCTTAACTCATATTTGGGTTAAAATACTTGGTGTAGTGGAATATACTTGAAGTTGGCTTTTGTTCTTGAAGTGTTAGGGGCCTCCTCATTTATATGGTCGTGCAGCTTCATTGGCAACAAATAATGCGAATGACATAGTAAGAGCACAATAAAATTCTTATGCAGATGAATTTTCTGTTGGAGAAATATGTTGCCAAATTATAAATGTCACAATGTGAGTTTGAGCATTTTGTAACTATATTATATGGGTAAGTTACATAGATTTTTTAGGTTGGTGCTCAGTGCACTTTAAGAATATGTAATTTAGAGATAAATTAAATGGTTTTTGTTGCTGAGTAGCGCTAGTAAACATGCACAACCCTTTTTGTTGGTTTAATAACATTAAAAGCTCTCTAAGAGTTCAAGTTCTTATTTGTATACATACAGTATCTATATTACGTTTTCACTAAGCTTAATGAATACATCGAAGTAACCTCTCTGAAAAGTCTGCAGTTTTTATCCAATTTTTCTGCAGGTTTTATCCAATTGCAGTTTTCCAGCTTAATGACTTTCTAAATCATGCACACATTTCTACATAAATATTGTAAAATGTTTTATCCAGTTGCTGTAAACCACCAATTATTTAACAAAATATGGACACGGCTCAAATTGGCACCGTGCCCTTCTGCAATTGTATTATTTTGTTTTGTTTTACACAATCGAAGATTTTTCCAATGATTGAAAGCATGTATGACAATAATCTCAAGAACCTATGATGATCTGTCTATAATAATATGATAAAATATAGAGAAAAGGTGTGAAAAAGGCAGACACCAACCCGTGTAAAATAGATATAAGATAGTTCAATAAGAAACAATTAATAATAATATCTATGGTTCTTACCGTCAACGCAATCAGGGGTAATATTCCACTACGGCCGTTTCGGAGATGACTCCATCGTCAGGTGCGTAGTGGTACACTAAAAACTATAGTCTTGTCACATTTTACACGAACTTTCTTCATTTGCATTGCGTCAGGAGTTGAATAAATAATACACATATATATACAGGACGGGCACAAACATATATATATATATGTGTATTATTTATTCAACTCCTGTCGCAATGCAAATGAAGAAAGTTTGTGTAAAATGTGACAAGACTATAGTTTAGTGTACCACTACGCACCTGACGATGGAGTCATCTCCGAAACGGCCGTAGTGGAATATTACCCCTGATTGCGTTGACGGCAAGAACCATAGATATTATTATTTTATTTTCACGCAATCTGCCACACTCAAGAATAAGAAACAATTGTAGGAGTTATTGTGATAAAAGGATTTCCCATTGATTTCGTAATGGAACTTTATATTGCAACACAAATGATACAGAGGAAAACCGATTTTAAAATCAGAAAATAACATTGCAAATACTTCTTTTGGACAATTCAGTAACAATTCAGTAGTCAATAAAAAGACCACTCATCCTACACTTATCCTTAACTTATATTTGGGTTAAAATACGCACAGAGTGTCGTTCCCCTCAAACAATTGATTGAATAAATCTTCTATGGCTTCCCTATTATAGGCCTACACTTCAATCCACAAGTCCACAACTACAACTAACTGCTGCAAAAAGTGGTTATTGCTGCGGCTGGGGGGCTGCACTCCTTCGTCTCCACCATTGAGTCAATATGTACATTCATTAATAATTGAGGATGCGTGTGTGTGCACTCAATGCCTCCACTCACTCTGTCAAATGCCAATGCCATTGTACTGTAGGCCTACGTGAAGGAAGACTGCCTATCTTAGTTCCAAGATGTATGGTGTAAAATACTTTTACGCGAGTTGCGTACACTACTTTACCTACGACGGTGTTTTAATTACTAAAAATCACTACTCATAACTTCTAAGAGACGTTATGTTTTTGTTTATAACCTCTCATTGCCACTGACAGTGATGCAAAGAAACATTGTATCAAACACTAATTGCACCAATCAACAATTAAATTGGCCTGAACAGCTGATTAGTTGAATTTCGAATCATTACAATTTTGCTTCTCCTCTCTCAATCCTTGAACCTCATTGGTCCGTTACCCGTGTTGTTATGAGTATAACTATGCTGTTATGAGATACTTTTCAATTATTATTATTATTATTATTATTATTATTATTATTTGTTGTCATGAGAGCCGAAGCCCCCTGACTGCTTACCCGGTACCTATCCTACAGGACATACCCGGGCCCCATGATGTAGGCCGAAGCTTACGCATCAACCTTTAGCACATCATGGGCGGATGACTTAACTTAAATTTTTTTTTTTTTAAAGTTTTTAACTTAAATTTTCTACTCGTCACTATCTTTACGCAATCGTTGCGAAAACTACTATTACTTTTACTCCATACATCTTGATCTAGTTCAGCCACGTTCAGCCCAGTGTAACGCCAGTGTAAGGCCACACTTAAAAGTGGCCTTGCTTTTGGCCGCTTTTGCCCAGCCCGTGCCCAGACTTCAGACAGACTCCAGTCAGTCAGTCCAGTTTAGTCCAGGGACCCAATCCCAACCACTCCCTCCGGACTCAGTCCAGTCTCCACTCCACTCCAGTCCAGTCCAGTCCCAATCAATCGTTAAAATGGCGAACCTCAACTTTATGTGTTTGTCATGAGTCTTGGATCATTATTTATCAAATTATTTTCCACATTTCCTTTATAACTTACGAAGAGGAATTAGGTTTTTGTAGCTTTTTACATATTTATGTAGACCATAATATAATTGAAAACAACGTAACATTTTCAAGCCTACAAATTAGTCTGGTGAACTGTGAAATCAGCCAAAAGTTTAACAGTGAGAGAGAGAGAAGATGGCAATTCCTTTATCAAGGTTAGTTAAGTTTGACAATAGTTTTATTTATTTTACCTAGGCCAGTCTTATTTTACATTAGACTTACTGAATGAATGCCTCGACAGTTTTGATTTAAGTTTCTATAACATCCTAGCCTAGTGTCATCTTGCTGTTCATGCATAGGCCTAACAAAACTGGTTAGCATTAAGTTAGGCCTAATGTGTTCTAAATTGTTTTGTATTTATGTTTTTTGCTGTATGCCTATTTATTAGCCTATGTTATGTATGTTAATCTCTTGAATCTCTCTTAATGTAGGCCTACTATATTATTAGCAACCTTTTTTTTAGCCAGTTTTAGGTAGGCCTACCATACAACTTAGCCTAATAAATTTCAACACATTCTTCTTAATTTGGCTAGGCCTAAGTTAACTTAAGTACCAGTAACAGCCTAGGTAGGGCATGAGTTAAGTTACTCAAGATAACTTAATATAAATCAAAATGGCTGCACTTTACTTTAGGTCCTACACTCATTCGAATGAAAGTATCGATTATTCGATTGTTTCATTAGATATATCGTTTGGTAAGTTAGGTTAGGTTAACCTTACCTAACTAACCAAATGATATATCGAATGAAACAATCGATTAATCAATATATCGATCGATATTTTCATTCGAATGAGTGTAGGACCTAAAGTAAAGTGCAGCCCTGATGGTAGACGTGAGATGAATTAACCCTTTCAGTGCTATGAAACGATATATCGTTGTTTAAAAAAAAAACCCTAAGGGATATAGAGAGGAAGGTTATTTAAAAAAAATAGCAAAACGGCCATTGGTGACCTGCATGTTCATAGGATACACTACCAACCACTTAGCTAAAAGATTCACCCAATCCGATGATTTCGAGGTGTACAGTAGAACCCCTGATATCCGGCCTTGGTTTTACCGGTCCTCTGTTTATCCGGCCCCTTCCAAGAAGCCAATATCAAAATGTTTTTCTCACAGCTTACCGACGTTTAGATGCAAGCACTAGTCTTTGTGACTGCCCAAGTCATAAAATAAATTTTTCTCTTTACTTATCTGTTTGTATATACATTTATTTGCTGAGTCACTATACTCAGTTGAGCTAGTAGGCCTAACCTCTGATCAGTTGGTTGATTATTTCCAAAGTGGGATTAGTACAGTACAGTACATATTAATTCTTGTATTTCACAAAATGGATAAGAATGTTGAGTAGAAATGCATGTACCATTTAGGTCCTAATGATCTTCAAGTACAATTTATGGTAATTTTTACCGCCATTCAATAGGTTTTGTTACCTGAAATCATAATATTTGTACCTACATTCATTACTTAATGACTTTAACCTACAAATATTTTTTTTCTTTTTACAAACATGTTTATTTTTCTAAAAATGATCCCAAAACAGAATTAAATGATACTTTTGATTGCATATATTGATTAAGTACCTATTATTAGGTATGAATTGTCATTTTCATAGTAGGTTGGTTTATCCGGCCAAATCGTTATCCAGCCAGGGGCTTGGTCCCGTGGTGGCCGGATATGAGGGGTTCTACTGTATGTCTAAACCAAGGATTATGAACACCTCACTATGCCCCAGTGGTTGTAGTATATCGCTACAAACACACAGGTCACCAATTATTTGCCACACAGGACGGGATTCGAACCCAAGCAGACGAATGCCACTGGCCAAGTGACACACGCCCTAGCCTTCTCGGCTATCTGTGCTTGAAGACTGGGGAGTCAAAACCCGGTATTTAAGCTGTCGCCACCGATTGCGAACAGATGGCGCTGCAGATGGTTGTTCAATGCGTTACTAGGTAGCAGCACCAGCTAGTCACGGACTATTTAGATGCAATCTTTTAGTTTTAGTAGTAGGTAGTAAATGTGTTCCTGAGACTTTGCTGCAAAACATTAGTTTCCCTAAAATTGCTATATTACAATAACCTCGTCCAACTAAATCAGGGTTAAATTCAATATTACATTGTAAACTATATGTCTTTTGATTTTGTGAGATTTCGGTTTCAAATAATGCTATCAGAACATAAAAATTTATAGGAAAACCGGGAAAATTACAACAAAAACTAAGTTTTATTTGATGTTTACTACAAATACCGGGATTTATCTTTCTTATATATTTTCTTATTGTGTTATTTATTATTCAAAATTAGCCTAATTAATAAAATAGTGACAACATGACAGTTAAAATTCAACAACGTGTAATGGAATTAAAAGGCAAACAAAAAAGTCTTACAAAATATGAATTATTGGCCTAGCACTGAAAGGGTTAAAAGACAAAGTAGGCTAAAGACATATAATTTTATAGTTCTCAAATTTCACAAAATACACTCTCCTAATAAAACTCAATTACTCTCTTATATTACTTCCAAATATTCTATTAAATAATAAAAACCGGAAAGGTCTTACTTTAATCAGAGACACTGAGTTTAATGGTCAGAACTGGCACTAGCAGTTACCATGCAACTAGAAGTGGTAGGGTGGTGTGGGGTAAGTGTGACAGCGGGGTAAGTGTGATAGCCGGCCATCTTGTTTTTGGGAATCGCTGAAAAAAATTGGTTTTGTCGTAGAAATAATGTTTGACATATAACTTAAGGTATCTAGTTACATGGTTTTTTTATCAATTTAGTAACTACCGGTACCTACTGTATGATGATTTTATTGGTTTTTATAAGTCCGACATTTTAGGTCAAAATCAAAGTTTGTTCGGAAATTTTGTTTAATTTGTAGTTAGCCTATTTTAAATTTTGACCAATTTATATCAAACTCAGATTTTTAAAGAGCCTAAAAGCTACACTTTTAGAAAAAAAATATTTAAAACGTGTACAAATTTATCATTAAATTTAAAACCACATGTCACACTTACCCCGGAAATTTTCAATGGCTGGGGCAAGTGTGACACCGACACCCGGGGCAAGTGTGATCTGTAATCTGATCTGATGCAAGTTTTTACAAATTTCCGCAGATTTGTACGTCTTTATTTCATTTGTAAATATCTCAAAAAGTAAGAATGATAGGGACTTAAATAAAAATGTTCCTGAAAGAGCACTAACTGGGTATTTATCACAATTGCCCCATTTACCATTAAAAGAGATACAGAATTTTATAGAGGCCGCTATCACACTTGCCCCGACCCCATGGGGCAAGTGTGACAGCTGGCAGGCATTTTTTTATAAGTAAAAAAAATAGTGAAAGCATAAGTTTATCACATTGGTTTTTTTTACCAGTAAAGATATTTCCAAAGTTTAAGTGTTAAAAATTTCAAGTATCTAGCTTTAGAAATAACCGAGGGAAAAAATTGTAAAGATGAACTTTATGATTTTTAGGTCACACTTACCCCACTTCACCCTACAAAGAAGGTACTGGACCAAGAAGTGGTTGATATCTGTAATTTCTACAGCAACCACTTTCAATAGACCATCTTTTCCAGTGAACTTAACTGACAAAACTTGAATCTTATCTGATACCACTACCAACCTACAAAGTTAAATCTTTTAAAATCTAGGACTCTATTTCTTAAGCTTACTCTTGCCAATGATTAAATAATTTAATTTTGTTTAGGTCATTTCAATTTAATTAATTTACCTCGGTACCTACAACCTACAATTAACTTACTAAGCTTCATACTGCCTACTCAAATTGCTTAAGTTAGACCATGGAGTCTGTTAAGAGGCTAATCAAAATTTGTAACTTAGCCTAATGTTTCAGCTTACTACCAGCGCCTACTCAGCCAGTATGGGACAGAGATGAAGAGCGCGCCAAGGTCCGCCCGGTGACAGCTTTGGTATCGGCTAGTCCCACTGCACCTCCATATGGCCAGCGAAGAGGTTGGATACCAAGGTCAAACGAGGTAGGCTGACACAGTATTCTCTAATCTTGTAGCTTAACTTAGGGTCTAGTTTGCTTTAAGTATAATAGATGTAGACTTTCAAAAGTTGTGGTGTTAGTTTAAGCTTCTTTTATCCAAGTGCACTAGCCTATAACTTAAGCCCTGGGACTTACAGAAAAAATATAAGTTAGGACGTTTAAATTATGAAATTTTTATTTTTGTTCGTTAACTTAGGCCTAAGTTAAAAGCTAGAACTTTGAGTTCCAACTAAAGGTAAATTCCTATCTTATATGGACATCCATATTTCTTTAAACCCCAGATAAGTTAACATGTAACTTATTCATACCAGTTCTGAGTCTTTTATATGTGAGAGCGGTTTTTACTTAAGGACCGGTTGGTCATATAGATCCGCAGTTAACTTGTAGGTACGCCTCAACCAGGCTCCTCGCCTCGTACTGGCGTTAAGGTGAACAGAATGACACAATTTGTAGCTCTGCAGCTAAAATGTAGGCTTAGCTGTGTGTTTTTACATTTTTTTAAATCATTGAATCTCCTGCCGCGTGCGAGATAAAGTCAGTGATACGGTTTTCACCACAAGAAACATATTCAATGCTGATGAACATATTCAAGTTTAGCCTATGAATATAATGCAATGAATATGGGGAAAGTGCATAGAAACAGGTTTTGGATTTTAAAAATGGTTTTTGGAATGAATTGTGATTTTGTTGGGTACCCACACTTCTCACAGAAGACCAGAAAGGATAAAATAGGTTTTCAGGGCCATTTTTATATTCCATATTTTAGGCCCACTTAACCAATTTCCTTAGCCTACTTTACTCTCACTCATTGCATTATGAATAACTAGCCTTCAGATCTGGCAATGAATGTCGGCATGACTATGTTTCTAGTTATAAACAAAAACGTATCACAGACCATAACTTAACTACCATGCAACGGGAGAATCGATACAAAAAAATTTCATCGAATCACTTGTTTGCTTGAAGCGAGGTCATGAGTATAGTTTTGCATGATTTATAGGCCATCAAGTTTTGTCTTAAAGCTTTAAAATTTCTACTAGCCTAAAAAGAATTAAGTTACCTGTCAATGTGTAACACCACATACTTTATAATAGCCTACATGCCAGGGAGCTTGGGAAATAGACCAATTTAGAATAAAAAGCTACGGTACTTATATTGCCAACTTTTCTAATAAATCAATATTCTTGCAGGACTTTGGCGATGGTGGGGCCTTCCCTGAGATTTCTGTCGCCCAGTACCCCCTCAACATGGGCAAAGAGGGCAAGGAGTCAACATCAAACGCCTTGGCAGTCCAACTGGATGCTCAGGGAAAAGTCAAATATGATATGATAGCTCGACAAGGCCACTCCAAAGATAAGGTAAGACACATTTAAATGCATTGGTAAATTTTTTAGTTTTTATTATGTTATTGTGCTGGCAACTCCTATTTCATTTGTAGAGTACCTTTAGATTATTTAGATAGACTAAATGGAGTATCTTTAAATAAATTAGATAAACATGGGTTTCACTTTTCTACTTTAATTTTACAATTTTTCCAGATAATTTACTCAAAACTGAGTGATTTGCTGCCGGCCGAGGTAAAGACTGAGGACGACCCAAGTTTGCAGAGACCAGACTCTGAATTGATTGATGAAACAACAGAGAAAACTCGATTGGCTCTAGAAAAACTTACAAGTAGTAAAATTGCAGCTGCCATGCCTGTCCGATGTGCTGACAAAGTTGTGAGTTTAACATGTCTAGCTAGTTTACATACAAATTATATTTACCCAATTTAATGAGCATTACCTAGAAAATATACATTGGTTAGTTTGGTCGAGTTCAATGCGATCACCCTATGGCCAGCTGCTGCCGGTGGCTAATGCGCTGCATCGATGAGTTTGCGATTAATCCAAATGATAGGTAAGGTCAAGTGGGGCAAGTGTACTTCCAGCTAATAATACATTTGCTTATTAACAAAAAATATGAAAAATTGGCCAAAGATACTTTAAACTATGCTCTTTTAAAATATAATCACTATTTCGCTTGTTACTATTTCTATGAGCTTAGACGTGTTTAAAAAACCTCTCGCGCTTCTACTCAAAACGCAAGTGCCCCTCGGAAAATTCAAATAATTACTAAAAACTGAAATACAATGATAATTATCTAAAATTTGGTAATCTTACTTATTTTTTGAAGGAGAATACATAATTAACATTGTTATGGCCCTAAAATTTCAATTTTGGGGAGTTAGAGTACACTTACCCTGTGTTAAAACCTGTTTGGGGCATGTGTACTTTTTCCCATGGGGCAAGTGTACTCAATAACTGATAAATTACCATACAGAATGTACATATCAAGTTTTTATCAGATTAAACAAAATATGATGGTAAATATTTGGGTTTGATGGGATACAGGTTCATTGAGATAACTTTTATGTTTGATTCTGTGAGTGAAAATACAACTAAGTTACCGTATTGTACTTTCATTGTGTGTTAGTACTTTGAAACAAAATAACTATCTTTGAAAAGTGTAAGGTACTGTAAATTGATTCCTAATGGTACCTTAGAAAAGCGATGATACCTTAGTTTGATGATGTGTTCTGTTAATGGTTGTCTGAATTTTTCATACATTTGCGACCATACTATTTTTTGGTAGATGAACTGTTGTACTGTGTTTTAATCCTTGATCTAACATAATAAGTCTTCTTTAATACAATCGCCAATCCACAGTCAGATGTAGTTGCATCTTGTTGTAGGCTCCGGCACAATACATCCGATACACACCCTCTCAGCAAGGTTCTGCGTTCAACTCAGGAGCCAAGCAGAGAGTCATTCGGATGATAGAGGCACAAAAAGATCCCATCGAACCTCCAAAGTTCAAGTGAGATTAATAATATGTAGCTGTGTTAGTGTGTAACTTAAGATGTATTAACTTATTGATTTAAATCTCTGACAGAAAACTGTAAATTTTTTACATGGTCTTCTGTAGGCCTACTGAAAGTTTCTTACTATTAGCATCCTTTCTTCTTCTCAAGCCAATTTCTTGGCAATCTTTCTTTATCTTTTTTTTTTGTTAATGAAATGTAATTTATGTATTATTTGACAGTCCCTACTTTTGTATTATTAGCGTTGTAGAAAAATGTGTTATGTAGGCTACAGAAATAATCCTAATTTATTTGAGGACTTTTTAATTATTGTGGATTAGGATGTTTTAGGTCCACACGGGTTAGGAGGTTGATATAGACGTTTTTGTCCATAACAAAAGAAAATCATGAATATTTTAACTTTGTTTTTGTACATCTTTCAGGGATTTTTTTAGTGCAGAAAAAGAGGTAGGCTTTTATTTTAATCTAGTGTATGTGCAGTAGAATGCCTAGTAAGTTATTTGGCTACAATGGGACTAAGCCCCTGCCCGAATAGGCTAACAACCCAACCTATTATAAAAACAAGAATTTATACTTAAAGTCTTTTTTGGGACTTTTTTTAAATACTCATGTTTGTAATATAATTAATAATGTATCTGCAGGAAAAAGAAGTTCAATAACAGTACCTAATTAAAATAAAAAATACTGTGGGTTTATATTTAACAAACTAACAAGTATTAAATAAAGATGCAGGTAAAAATTAGTCACAATAAATCGGCTATAAAGTTTATACCTTAAATAGTCTGTAATTCTTTGCTAAACTTTCTTGCCTATTTTTGATTTTTTGATGAAACAAACACATAGAGTTGTACTGTATTAACCACATTGTTTGGCAAGTATTTATAAAGCCTCTGCTGGATATAAAAGGTGCTTTTGAACAAAGTTTTATACATAATTTAAACAATCAATATTGCTTTTGCAACTTTTTACGAGAGGGAATTTCAACTTTAGAATTATGAACAGATACTAACTATCCTGTTTAATAGTTTCTCTCTTTTATTTCAGAATCAACAAGAAAATTCCAAGAGGTCCGCCGTCCCCTCCTGCACCCGTCATGCACTCTCCGACAAGAAAAGTGAGTTAGGAATATTTAAGATCCAAAGTCATACTGAATAAGTATAAGTAAGGATGTGAGTCAATATTTATTGATTGGAATACTGGGCTTCTCATTACATTACCAACACTAAATGACTCTACATATCCAGGCTATAGCACAATAATTTTAACTGGCTCGACACAACGAAAACTCGCTAATGTTTTTCTGTGACTATGTGGCCAACAGTTTTGGTTTGGCAGAATTAGTTAATACATGTCTGGTTGAAAGTTGATTATTGTGTCCCTACTAACTCATTACAATTAATATTAACATTTTTGATATAGGGCTAATATTTATAACTACTAGTTTAAAAAATGTGAATGAACAAGTTTTGTAGCCTAGAAAGACTTTAAAAACATGCTATTTCATTTTCATTTACAGTAGATATCTTTCCATATAAAATAATTTTTAGGTAGCTTAATAAGAATTAAATTATTTGAAACATGCTAATAATGCGTCTGTATCCTATCATTGTTTTTATCTTAGTCATTGTTTTTTGCAGGTTACCGTCAAGGAACAAAAAGAATGGAAAATACCCCCTTGCATATCAAATTGGAAGAACGCCAAAGTAAGTGTTTCATCTTCATTGGTTATTTTACAAGTGTTATTTAAATACATATTTTTCAACTGTATTGGCAAATTTCTCAATTGCTTATGCAATTAAGTGATATACAGAAGAAATTACACTTTCTACTTAATATCACAAATCTGCCTACATGTTGCTTTTACTACAGTATAAGCACTATTATTTGAAATTCTTACACACTATTAAAAGTAATTGATGTAACGACCAAAACTATTTGTACTTACATCAGGGTCATAATAACTGTTTTTAACTGTAGAGAAATGTTGCTTTACAGATTAACATTTGTTTTTTTTATATTTTTTTAGTTCTAGTTTGTGGTTTGTCCACTTGATAGTTAAACGTAAAATTGCGGTTAACCTTAGGTTTTATAACCAATTAAAATAGTTGAATTTCAAGTTAACATCCTTCAGTTAGTGAAACCAAACCAAACCTGTATTCTAACAGAGTTACAGTTCTTAACAACTGTGTTTTTTCATTCCAGTAAAAAATGTGTAATTAGGGTTGCCACCAGTCCTAACCAAATGTGGAAAGGCGAACCCATTTGGCCGGTTTGCACAGGTTTACGTTTGATTTTATACTGGGAAGAGGGGCCATCCCGATTATTCCCTAGCCAAAGTTGGCAAACTGGGGTGTATCATAATCAATTTTTTTGGACTGAACAATCATATGTGTGACTAGGCCTATTTAATTTTGGGTACTGGAGTAGACATCCTATCGAGATATAGGCCTAGCCTATTTTTATTAAAAAGAAATTAGTTGAATGAGCTAGTAACAGAATGTACATACAGTAGTCTAATTTTTTTCTGCCTTCGTTTTTTTGTAACTGAGATGGCTGATGTACCATAATATATAGTATAGTTTCACAATAAGTTGTCCTATGAGTTGACTTGGTTATATAGTTGGCGTATTTGATGTGGCGTTGATCAATTATGTCCATTTTGATTTAAAACCTGGAAAAACTTTAACACAGATACAAGTGTCTGGTTCAATCAATAGTCTAAAGAATCACTTTATATTTTGTTTACATAGCATAACATGCTTTGGACTGAATTACGTCTGCAACATTGTCTGTGAAAGATTTGTTGTTTAGGGTTACACGATTCCCCTAGACAAGAGATTGGCTGCGGATGGTCGAGGGTTGCAGCAAGTACACATCAACGAGAACTTTGCCAAACTGGCTGAGGCCCTGTACATTGCTGACAGAAAGGTAATTCATTAAACTTGCTTGAATTATGCTCTATAGTTTAATTTGTTAATGCTATTTGCTAAATCAAATAAAACTTAAAGGATATTCAGGTATCCTTTCAGGCTTTATGATACTATAGGGTCATACTTTCAATTGATTTTATGTTAATGCCTCCATAAAGATGCTATATCTGATGTCGGATGTCAATCAGCACATTCATCAAAATTGTAAGTCTTCATGAAATTCACACATGTAAGACCAATACTGTATGCCTACTTTAAATCTCAATCTTTCTTAAATGATTTTTGAATGTGTTATTTACAAAGTCATCCATATGACAACAGTTAAACATATTTCTTTTTAGTTCACTTAAGAATTTAACCTATCAAAACTAACTCTGCTTTGTTATTTTCGATAACATAATGGACTTTTAATTGTAGGCCCGAGAAGCTGTTGAAACAAGAGCCCAATTGGAGAAGAAACTCGCCCAGAAAGAGAAGGAGAAGAAGGAAGAACACTTGCGATTGTTGGCGCAGAAGGCGAGAGAGGAGCGAGCGGGCATCAGGACTGCGGCTGCTCTTGGTAACTATCTTCCCGAATATTCAATTCCAACATCAAATTAGTCCATACGTAACATATAATATATTCGTACTCTCAGTCTTGGTGGAAAGAATGTTTATCTTTCCTGTTGGGAATCCAGAATAAATAAAATGGCATACAATGTTTCCTGGCAATTATAATTAGATTCAAGCCTGTAAACAAGTGAGCTTCACCTATCTTGTGTGCTAAAATACATTTTCTAAAATAATTGCATTAGAATAAAGGATTCTAACTATCCAAATCAATAGGGACCAGACCCTACCTAGTTAATAAACAATGGTGTAAGACAGTTGTTTGAGGCAGATGACTCTTTGCGCACCGATTGATTTGACAGTACAAAAACCTTGCAGCCTCAGGGGCATAACAAATTACTGCAATGAAAATAGTTTTTCTGGTTGACTTTATTATTCATTCCTTGAGGTGATATGGATTTTTGGAGTTTGGATGGTTGGAGTTTTACTGTAAACTAGCTGTGTGCCCGTTCTACGCACGGGGATCTTATAGTAGTCAGTTGAAACCTTCTTATATTAAGATTAAGAACAGCAGTTAGTTTGCATATTTGCAGATATGCTGGCAAAACTATTATATATAAACCTTCGCAAATACAGTATCTGACAGTTCAAGCCAAAATAAATGCTTCGCAATTAAATGTCACCCGGATCGTTATGGTCCATATGTCCAATGATTAAACTAAAATATGTTTTATAGATCCATGAAGCGTAGCCCTAAAGTAGGCCTATAATTGAAAGTTACTTTCCACATCGGTTAACTTAAACGTATTTAAAGTACTACCTCAACCTCACCATTTAACACTTTATTCCGGTTGACATTTTCAGTATCAAAGGTGCTCTTGTCCATTCCGTGAAACACTGAGAAATAAGGACATTAATGCGTTACCAACAGACATACACACAACAATCCAAAAAAGGCCACGAATTATTGATACATAAACAATATAAAGGCGTAAACAATTCATGATGGTTTGCCCAACAAATGTTTTACTCAAATAGGTTATCATTTTCTTAGCATACCGGGTAAGCTAAGATTTGGAATCCAGACAGAAAAAGCAAAACTTATACAGAGTTAAGACATCACTTAAATTGAATACGGACGGCTCTGATAAATAAGGTGCAACACCAACGATAACTAATTTGTAAACTACAGTGATGTGTTGGTACCTACGTAAAAATTATTCTAGCAGCTACCAACGGTTCTAAGGAAAAGAACCAGTACCTACGTAAGAACCTACCTAAGAACTATAGTACATCCGACCAATTAAATACATTAATATCTAGTCCCGAGGTTATTGATCTCTTGCTTTTGGATTTTCTCGTAAAAAGTTATAGCGTAAACTTATCGGTGTAAGTTTGAAAAAAAAACAACCTTACCCAAACAACTTTTTGTTATTTAATAGATTACGCATTCTCTAAACAATGATTAGTATATCTATTAACATTAGAAGGAAATGTGACGAAAATCACACAATGTTGGGGTTTTGGTCATTTGTAATTATATTTCTTAAGTAGGTAGGCCATGTATTCTATGGAAAAGTACCGGTATCAAGGATCGTCGCCAAAAAGGTTGTTATGAATAAATATGTAGGCTTACGTACCCAAGATATGAGCTATGGGCCTATTGGCTGTATGGTCCAGCGATTGCATCACACGGTGAGTAGAAACAGAAAGTGACACATTGGAAAAGCGAGTTTAGCACTTCCTCTGTTAAACCTCTGTTACAATCACCCACTGCAGTTGTGATTTTTTACTTTACACTTTACACAACCGCCATTGAAGCGCCGTCAATGAGTGGAAACCTTTTTTGTAAGCTATTGGCGACGATCATTTCAGTGTCCAGCCCTATACAACACTGATTCAAGGTCTTCTTTCTGGTTGTCAAAACTCAAGAAACATTTTATACTCAAAGAATTTCTGGTTCCGATTTGGACGATGTCTAGTTATTTAATTTCATTTACGGTTACACTATTAGACTATATTATTGCACTTGCGATTAATTAAATCCGTTATGTAAGAAAAACGTTTTTAATCTCACTTGGTTGGGATTTGCTTTCAAAACGTGATTCGAAATGGTTGCGGTATTTGTAAACAACATTTGTTAACATATCATTGACAGCTAGAAAAAATAATCTTGATCCGAACAGCTGTTCGTTATTTCATAGACGATTATGTGATACAAATTGAACGAAAATTTGACAGAAATCGCACAAAACTGCATTTTTGAACGTCCGTAATTTTATTTACAAAGTAGTGAGGCTATATTTAAATCACTAAAGACACTCTCGCCAATCCAGTGATTACATTAAAATGACTTGGATCTTGATAGGTACTCTGGTTTTCACGGAGAAGATTGCGTAAAATGCCATCTTGAGTGTTACAGACAAAGGGAAAGACAGACAGACAGACAGAAATAGAGATAAGACTCGTTTCTGCTTCTTTAATGTATAAAACGTAAAAATAACCTAAAAGTATATAATTCTGAGCAAAGTACAGACAAAACTCTAATTTTATTTATATAGATAACCAGCTTCAAGTTATTTTGAACCTTATGCTATGCATGGACCTAATAAACAGTATGTAGGTGATAAATAGAAATGAGGATAAACAAACATGATTTTAAATAAAAAGTATCATTAATACAAAAATAAAATGTAAGACCACTTCCATTTGGTAACAACGATTTTGATTGTTGTAGATAAGGACGAGGAGGCTAGAGAGAGAGATCAGCTTAGGTACGAGAGACACAAGGACAGAGCCAGGGAGAGGAACTTGGCTAGAGCTGCTCCTGATAAAAGGTAACATCGCTAGGATAGCAGACTTGTCTGAATAGGAAAGTATACATACTGGCACAGGAAACACACACTTTCCTTGGTTGGAATGCTGTCAGTGACAGTGAAATTGTGTGTATAAAGTGTTTGGTGCTTCTTGTGTAAGAGTATTCTCTTCCCCATTCAGTTGAGCCTTATTTAGAATACTTGTTGAGTTATTAACAAAAATTATACTTTTTTCTTTTTTTCCCAAGACGCTAGGCACGAGTGATTGTTTTTCACATTACTTCAGGCTAGATTTAGATCTAGGGGTTGCGGCATTATCACTTAGATTAAGTCTATTGGTTATTTGGCGGGATTTGAACCCGGGGCCTCAGGGACTGAAGTCTCGCGCTCTAACCACTAGACCAGCTCTCTCCCCTAAAGCTCGCTCCCCCTAGTTATTAACTCATATTAGACTAGATTGCTGATTTACACAATATTACTCATTTTGGTCAAAACTATGTTGTTGCAATTTTTTAGACAGGATTGTTTTATGGAGGCTAATGTGTATGTTTTGATGTGTATCACCAGGTCAAAGCTGCAGAGGGACAGAGAGAGAGATATCAGTGAGCAGATAGCACTTGGTCTGCCAGCCAAGACCATCACTGGAGGAGAGGTGCAGTTTGATCAACGGCTGATGAACACCAGCAAGGTAACAATCTGTTTGATCATCACCTGTGAGTTTGATAGCATAGTGTTCATAAATGGTTAGTAGCCTGAGAGAGAGATATCAGTGAGCAGATAGCACTTGGTCTGCCAGCCAAGACCATCACTGGAGGAGAGGTGCAGTTTGATCAACGGCTGATGAACACCAGCAAGGTAACTATCTGTTTGATCATCACCTGTGAGTGGGATAGTGTAGTGTTCATCAATGGTTAGTAGCCTGAGAGAGAGATATCAGTGAGCAGATAGCACTTGGTCTGTCACCCAAGACCATCACTGGAGGAGAGGTGCAGTTTGATCAACGGCTGATGAACACCAGCAAGGTAACTATCTGTTTGATCATCACCTGTGAGTGGGATAGTGTAGTGTTCATCAATGGTTAGTAGCCTGAGAGAGAGATATCAGTGAGCAGATAGCACTTGGTCAGTCACCCAAGACCATCACTGGAGGAGAGGTGCAGTTTGATCAACGGCTGATGAACACCAGCAAGGTAACAATCTGTTTGATCATCACCTGTGAGTGGGATAGTGTAGTGTTCATCAATGGTTAGTAGCCTGAGAGAGAGATATCAGTGAGAAGATAGCACTTGGTCTGTCACCCAAGACCATCACTGGAGGAGAGGTGCAGTTTGATCAACGGCTGATGAACACCAGCAAGGTAACTATCTGTTTGATCATCACCTGTGAGTGGGATAGTGTAGTGTTCATCAATGGTTAGTAGCCTGAGAGAGAGAGATATCAGTGAGCAGATAGCACTTGGTCTGTCAGCCAAGACCATCACTGGAGGAGAGGTGCAGTTTGATCAACGGCTGATGAACACCAGCAAGGTAACAATCTGTTTGATCATCACCTGTGAGTGGGATAGTGTAGTGTTCATCAATGGTTAGTAGCCTGAGAGAGAGATATCAGTGAGCAGATAGCACTTGGTCAGTCACCCAAGACCATCACTGGAGGAGAGGTGCAGTTTGATCAACGGCTGATGAACACCAGCAAGGTAACTATCTGTTTGATCATCACCTGTGAGTGGGATAGTGTAGTGTTCATCAATGGTTAGTAGCCTGAGAGAGAGATATCAGTGAGCAGATAGCACTTGGACTACCAGCCAAGACCATCACTGGAGGAGAGGTGCAGTTTGATCAACGGCTGATGAACACCAGCAAGGTAACAATCTGTTTGATCATCACCTGTGAGTGGGATAGCATAGTGTTCATAAATGGTTAGTAGCTTGAGAGAGAGAGATATCAGTGAGCACATAGCACTTGGTCTGCCAGCCAAGACCATCACTGGAGGAGAGGTGCAGTTTGATCAACGGCTGATGAACACCAGCAAGGTAACAATCTGTTCGATCATCACCTGTGAGTGGGATAGTATAGTGTTCATCAATGGTTAGTAGCCTGAGAGAGAGATATCAGTGAGCAGATAGCACTTGGACTACCAGCCAAGACCATCACGGGAGGAGAGGTGCAGTTTGATCAACGGCTGATGAACACCAGCAAGGTAACAATCTGTTTGATCATCACCTGTGAGTGGGATAGTATAGTGTTCATAAATGGTTAGTAGCCTGAGAGAGAGATATCAGTGAGCAGATAGCACTTGGTCTACCAGCCAAGACCATCACTGGAGGAGAGGTGCAGTTTGATCAACGGCTGATGAACACCAGCAAGGTAACAATCTGTTTGATCATTACCTGTGAGTGGGATAGTATAGTGTTCATAAATGGTTAGTAGCCTGAGAGAGAGATATCAGTGAGCAGATAGCACTTGGTCTACCAGCCAAGACCATCACTGGAGGAGAGGTGCAGTTTGATCAACGGCTGATGAACACCAGCAAGGTAACAATCTGTTTGATCATCACCTGTGAGTGGGATAGTGTAGTGTTCATCAATGGTTAGTATCCCAAGAGAGAGATATCAGTGAGCAGATAGCACTTGGTCTGCCAGCCAAGACCATCACTGGAGGAGAGGTGCAGTTTGATCAACGGCTGATGAACACCAGCAAGGTAACAATCTGTTCGATCATCACCTGTGAGTGGGATAGTATAGTGTTCATCAATGGTTAGTAGCCTGAGAGAGAGATATCAGTGAGCAGATAGCACTTGGTCTGCCAGCCAAGACCATCACTGGAGGAGAGGTGCAGTTTGATCAACGGCTGATGAACACCAGCAAGGTAACAATCTGTTTGATCATCACCTGTGAGTGGGATAGTGTAGTGTTCATAAATGGTTAGTAGCCTGAGAGAGAGATATCAGTGAGCAGATAGCACTTGGTCTGCCAGCCAAGACCATCACTGGAGGAGAGGTGCAGTTTGATCAACGGCTGATGAACACCAGCAAGGTAACAATATGTTTGATCATCACCTGTGAGTGGGATAGTATAGTGTTCATAAATGTGGTGTTCATAAATGATTAGCATCCTACAATTTTGAATATAGGCCATGCTCAGCTTACAACGTATGATGTTCCATCTGTTTATTGGCCACAGTTTAGTTTTGGTAACAATTATACCGAGTTTATTCGTATAAACAGATATTGTAGACTGCAGTTTGAATTGTTGACTGGTCAATACTATGGAGGAAAGGGCCAACACAATGGTTGCGTCGTTTCCTAGATATTTCCCCGTGTGAGTTCTTAAAGGTACATAAAGGCAGATAATTAGGGAAGCATGTTTAACAACATGCTAGAGAATATTATGGATTCACAGAATAAGATCAAACTAAACTATTACAATTTTGTTTAAAACACTCAGATGGAATTATGGTTACTGATTTTGCCTCTTGTAGTAAGACATAATAACCAGGACAGATTATAAGCAGCTCATGTTTTATCAAATAATTTTATCTCTTATCTGTAAGTAAAATTAATCCCTAAAAGGTATTTTGTGAGATGAATTTCCACATTTTTGCTAAAAGTCTCGTTTCTGGCCCCAGGGCATGGACTCGGGCTACGGTGATGATGAAGCCTACAATGTTTACGACAAGCCGTGGCGTGACTCCAGCAGTTTGGGTCAGCATTTGTACCGGCCGAGCAAGAATGTCGATAAGGACATTTATGGAGACGACTTGGAAAAGATTGTGAAAACAAATAGGTCAGTTGAATGATGTTGGTTATGTGATGTGTTTTGGGTTATTTTGACAACTAATCAAGTGTCATACCCCGACGTATTATTCAAGTGTCCAAATCAATGTCGTTTTGAAAGAGTTGTTCATTAATTTAAAAAATATTCTGGTTAATGGCAAATTTATTAGTCTAATCGAGTACTTAGTGTTTAAACATAAACTGTACACCTGACTACGTTTCATCGACCTAGCTCTCCTCCACATTCCAAGGCTACATTCCAAGGTCTCTAATTTTGAATATGATTACAAAAACGGAGTCTCTTAAATATTTTCTGATTAAAGCTTTCATTGCAAAATAAACACTTGTCAATAGATGCACTTTAAATTTTATTTTCATTTTACACTAGTGGGAACATTTTTGTAAATGGCATACCCAATTTTTCTGTCCATATGGAAAGAACCTGTTCTTTTTTGTTTCCCACATTATAATGCTTTTTATAGTTTTTCTTCACTGATAGTTTTTCTTTTGGTCTATCTACAATTATCTTTTTACAGATTTGTGCCTGATAAAGAGTTCAGTGGGACAGATCGCTCTGCTGCTCAGGCTGGCCGCAGTGGACCTGTCCAGTTTGAGAAGGAAGAAGAAGAAGATCCCTTCGGTCTGGATCAGTTCTTGACACAAGCCAAGCGGTCGTCTAAGCGACCCAACTATGAGAGGGATCGCAAGGATGACAAGCGAAGGCGGCATTAAGGTCAGTATGTTGGTTTTCCCCCTCGCTAATTACTTGTTTCAAGTAGGAAGAGTTGGATGAAGTATCACATGAATGAACACTCACCTAATTGAAATATCAGGTGTAACCTATTGAGAAGGCCATCCACTGTACAGGTTAGCCTGAAAAATCAAACTATTCTAAGAGTCTTCCTAAAATTACCTAATTTATTAGCTTTTGTTTACCAGGAATTTAAAATGCACAACTCACAGAAGAGAGCCCTGCTATCAAAAATTTATTTTGTCTTAAAAAGTGTTTGTTACTTTTTATTGTTTTATCAAAGATATTTTGCAATAAGTTAAAAAGTTTTGGTGTTCGATAGAAACTAGTGATTGAGGGTGCACTCTGTCGGTTGCTTAATCCATCAATGAACATTTCCAATCTAAAACTTGCTACAACTCTTTAACATAGGAATGGGATGAGTTAACTTATCAATAGTTGAAGGTTAACTAAAGGTTCATGAGGGAAGTATTTTTGTGTCGATATTCTAATTTTTTTACAATCTTGCTAGCAAATTATTATCCTTACGGTAAACATTATTAATTTATTTTTCATTCCCTTTTCAGAGCACTGGACGAACAGAGAAGTTCAATGGAGACGGTCAGTAGTCCCTTATGAGAAGCAAATACTGGTGGCAAAAATATCACCACTAAACTACACACTGTTTTATTTTTAGTTTTAATTTATATGTTATATCCTGTAAATAAATATAAAAGGTACATTATAAATTTGTTTAGGTTTTATTTTTTTAATAAGTAAGCTTGCCTCTTATTTTCATTTTTGATGATATAGGTAAGCTTGTATAATTACATTTTAAATAATTGTATTGAATTTTTTGTCTTGATAAAAGTATATTGTTGTGGGATACAAATCTAAATAAAGAAAGAAAGTTTATTGTAAGGCAATCTTCATACCTACTAATAAAATTTATACATATAATTTTATGTCTAGAAATTGGACATTTTATCGGTTTTGGTAGTTTTTAACACAATTTGATTGAAAATTGGTATGGACATATATGTATATGACCTCTAAATATACAGCTTCTTTAGATAATTTGGAATTACGATTTAATTTTTTTCATGTGACTCGTACAGTCATTTGCATGATAGTGTAAATATTTGTCTTTGTAAATCAGTATGATTTATAGGCTGTCTTTACGTAATAAAGAAATTGTTAAATACTCGTATGGCTGTGATTTACTAACCACCCTCAATAATTGCTGCAGCAAAAGTTAAAAAAATGTCAAGTGTATGCTGTTTACATAAATACATTGTTGTTTGTTTAGCTCAGTGGTTATGAATCTCAATTTCAAATCTGAAGGATGTTGGGTAGTTTCTCGACCATTCCAGTTTTGTAATTGGGCTATATATTTTGCTCTAACAGCAGTAGTTGTGGTTGTTTAATATTAAATTGCCAGATTTTGAACTGTTCCCTTCCAAAAATCATAAAAAACTTAAAAGTTGTAAAAGTGTTAAATAAACAATAAAATTATAAAAAAATAAATTTTACTATCTCCCCCTATACATAGTTAAATGAAGAAGGTATCGTTTTTGTCAAAACTTTGTAGTTTAAGAGTCTTCCGTAGTGGAAGCCATGTTGGATTTCTTCCCCATAAGAACAATGTTAACTTTGGGTCCAAATATCTCATCAGCAAATTGTCATATAGGTAATTATGGATAAGGAGTTAAATTTAAAGAATTGCGGTCCTCTAGAGATTGACGTTTTTTATTTCACAATTTTTAATTTTTATAATGAATAATTGATTATTAATTAGCTTAAAATTAAGCTAATTATTGAAAGGAAATGAAAATGGATTTTCGAAATTCAAAAACCTCAGTCACGAGTCTATTATGTTAAAAATACAAATTATAAATTTCAAAGCTATATCTTAACAAATAACGCCGTTACGTGTCCACAAATGATGCAATTCTAACATTGTTCTTATGGGGAAGAAATCCAACATGGCTTCCACTACGGAAGACTCTTAAGTTTTGGGTGGACATCTACGTTTTGGGTTCCCCTGAACCCAAAAAGTGGTTTTTGAAGTAACGTCTGTGTATGTAAATGTGTACAGAGCTACATACCTCACCTGCGTCCGATTTTGGGATAGAGCTCAGCAAAAAGTTGTCACCGCCAAATTAAAAGACAGAGAAGGGTGAATAAGCCCGGGAAAATGTACATTTCTTAGCAACCTCTTCTAAGTTCTAGTTGAAACAACAGTTTGAATTGTGTAAGGAAAAATATGTTTTTAGTAAACACAGTTGATGGTCACACAGTGATAAAACACGGATATAGTAACTGAAAACGTTTGATGTCAAAATAAATATTGAAAAGATTGAGTTAAGCATTCAATGTTATTTAAATGGGTTTCATTACATCACCGAGTGAGTTTTTTTTCAACTTTACATCACTCGAGAAGTAAGGAAGTTGTATACATCACGCTTGGGATAGGGAAGTTTAACATAACATGGCGGGTTAGGTAAAAGAAAAAACACCACTAAATCACACTACTGTATTAGAGGTATTAGGTTATGTGTTGATGTATGTTGAACTGTTTATCAACAGTTGGAATGATTTGTTTTTCTTTATTAGTTAGTAAACAATAAATTTTTGGGGTTAATTCAAAATCTTAACTTTTAATTGTGTAGTTAACTATCATAGCCAAATATTCCATTTTTTTTTTACAATTCCTTTGTGCCTTAAACAGATTTATGCCAAAGAGGGATGTGAATTCATTTAAATAAAAGAGTTATCGTGTGTCTTATTTGAATACTATATTCTATGTGTTGTGGTTTTGGTTTTACCAAAGTCAGAAGTAACAAGATGGAAAAGATCAGAACTTTAAGAATGCTGATTTCTAGATATAGAGCTGACGCAGCAGATTTAGCCAGGAGGGAAGAAGATTTGACCAGGGAACTGGAAATTATAGAAAATCTCATATCAACAGCAACGATATGGTACATATCAAAAGTAATTCAAACTAGAGAAATGCAAGCTCCTCAGCAAGAAACAGAAAAGGCAAGGGAAAAATTAGAACGACTTAAAACAGTTTTAGGAGATATTAGACAGTCAATAGAGGTGGTGAAAGACGAAGAAACCGTCATAAGGAAAAGAATAGAAGAGCTGGAAACATTGTTAAATTATCAGCCAGAATCATATACTAGTATGTTTACCAACGAGAGAATCTTTGAAAAATCCAATCTTGCAGATAATATTTATGATTCAACAATCCAAAAAGAAATTTACAACATTGATGATGAACACCTAGAAAAAGGAACAGAAGAAAATCAATTACAAACTAAAGATAGTGGAAGGAAATGTAGCGAGGAATTGATCAGTAAAGGAGGAATTCCCAAAACTATGATTGAGCACACTGAACAAACCGGTGGAAGCTATAATAAAGGACATAATAGTATGGAAACTGAGAGGTCAGTAGATCTTCACTCATCAGATGCAAAATTAACTCCAATAATTACTGATAAAAGTAAAAGCAAATATCTAACAAGTGACCTAGCTGATTACACTAAAACAAAATGTGAAAAATCATTTGATGTAGGATTTGAGAGTAGTGTTGCTGAGGAATCTGTAACATTTGACCAAGGAAGAAATATTTCACATAAGTTTGATGAAAATAATGGCTCTGTTACTGACAATTATAAAATGATTAAAACAAGCAATGAACAAAAATGTGAGGACAACCCCCTAGAAAGTGCTGCAATAGATCGGTCAAATGATGAGGCTGGAAGAGATTTCAAATTCATGCAGTTTGATGAAAATAATAGCTCTGTTACTGACAATGATAAAATTAAAACAAGCAATGAACAAAAATGTGAGGACAACCCCCTAGAAAGTGCTGCAATAGATCGGTCCAATGATGAGGCTGAAAGAGATTTCAAATTCATGCAGTTTGATGAAAATAATGGCTCTGTTACTGACAATGATAAAACTATTAAAACAAGCAATGAACAAAAATGTGAGGACAACCCCCTAGAAAGTGCTGCAATAGATCGGTCCAATGATGAGACTGAAAGAGATTTCAAATTCATGCAAGAAAACCAGGATACTCTTGTAAATGACACAAATTGGAATCATGTTTATGGAAAACTTGTAACCCAAGTAAATGAGCTTAGAGAAGATTTAGAACATTCTTCCTTAAAGCTCAGGCAGAGTGCAGAATATGTTAAGAATTTAGAGGAAGAGTGTTTAAAGTTGGAAAAGGAAATAAAAGATAAAATTCATCTACTTGAAAATAAATTTGCTGCATTAGACCAAAAAGAAAAGGGTAACTGTGAAGACATAAATGCATTGCTACCAACTATTGGTGTAAATAATTCTCTATTAGCAATGCAGGAAGCTATTGAGAAATCAATAAATGCATTAAAGGAGGCCTCCACCTCTATGTTTTCAAATGTAAGTAAGATTTAATATGCGATTAATGTGAAAAACACATTTTGCACTTGTCTCTTTAAGGGAAAATGACTTTAATTTATTTACGGTTGTATATTGTGGTGACTGATGACCAGGATTTTCTAATATAAGTAGGAACCTATCATAAATTCATGAATTCCGGAAACTGCAACAATATACCTATTAAAAACTCACTGTCAAAACAGCAATCCTACCTTGTTTAGCGGACGTGCACGATTCTTGTTCCTCAGGGGCTTAATCATAGTTTGTAATCCCTGGTTAATACATTGATAACACAGAAATATGATCTAAAAAAAAACATAAATAATTCTGTGTAGGACCGCATGGTATGACCGCGTGTTACTGTATGTTGTATAAGTATAACAATCAGAGTCATTAGTCCCGGACCAAGCGTACGTTCAAACATCGACGGCGGTTATTTCATTCACGTCGTCGCATCAAGAAACTAAATTGTGATCGCGGGAGTGATGACGAAGTGTCCACGATCATGGGAGAATGACTTACAGCTTCAAGCGTCGCTGCCGTGGCAAACGGATGATCCCAGATTTTGCTACGATCGCGGGACCGGGAACGGGGGGGGGGAGATGCTTACATCTTACATGCCGTTATCTCAATCACCAAAGCATTGGAAAAGTGATTCGGTGACTTGAGAGAGTTGCAATCAATATAGGCTAAGTTATATTGATTGCAACTGCTCTCTCAAGTCAACGAAATCGCTTTTCCAATGATTTGGTGATTGAGAGTTTCAATTTGGACAAAGCAAAGTAACTTGACACCCATGGACCCGTTGACATAGTGGCGTAAAAGCCCTTTTGGTAGCTGCCTCGTTCACCTGCCATCCAGAGGTTGTTTAGTTGTTTAATCATTAGTTAAAGGCGGCCGTGATTATGCCCTAACGTCTACATGTCCCAATAGCATCACACGTAAAACAGGCTTCAGATTTTGTAACCGAACGAGAAGCCTACTTGTAGTGAAAATATTGAAGGTTTGAAGTAGAAAGCATATACTGTAAACTCATCATGGTCCTGTAAACTCGTTTAGGAGTAACAATATTCAAGAGAGATTTAATCCATGGTAGTGATAATCCACGATACATGCCTGTCATATATGACATATAGGAAGTTCAAAGCTACTCTGTGGTGTTTGAGATATGGATCTTCTTTTTACCTTTCTTTACATAGTTTGTTTGTTTGTCTATGATAAGTTGCATGACTGTCGTTTATTGTACCTTCTCTTCTGTCAACTACTAAAGAAAGGATAATCATTATTTTATATTAAAATAACAAAAGACATCTTAACAATTTACTGTAAGTACTTTCCCCGCAAATGATAGAGTATTCATTGCCATTTTTTAACCAATATTAAGGCCCTAATATTTAAAAAATTTGAATTAGATAATTTGCAGCTTTGCTGTGCTATAGGTTAGCTTAGTTCTTGAACAAGCTTATAATTACAAATAGGCTAGCCTAATTCAAGATTATGTTAAAACTGGTAAAATATTTTTTTGGCTAAAACCTGTTGGAAGTATTTTGAGTTAGATAGGTAGGCCTATTCAAGTAAACTTAACCTTGATTTAAAAGGTAAGAAACACTAGGTTTGAAAAGATTTGCTAAAATTAGCCTTACTTAGGCCTAGGCCTACTTGTGATGATCCCACTAGTACCTTTCCAGCTGTGGTCGTCAAAGGTATTTAATTGTCAGGTAGGGCCTATCTTCTCTTACTCCTCCAAAAATTCTTCCACTTTGTAGGCCTTTTCTAAAAATTACTTCTAAGTAATTTTTGAGTTTTTTCTTGAGTAAGTCTTGTCTTGGCAGCTTCTTATGTCTTCTGTCAATTTATTAAATATTTTACTTGCTGAGTGGTGTGGTCCAGCTATTACCAATGATGTTTGGTGACAATTCAGGTGTAGGACATAACTAAACTTAGCCTAGGCTAAGTTTTTTATGGTTTTGTTCTGGTATTATAATTACGTAACTTAACTTATTTTGTGGTTGCGTTTGAAGACTTCTAGAAATTTCCATCATAGCTGAATCCAATATTTAAACAGAGGTAAGGGTGGGACCTTAAGATTAATAAAAAGCGGTCTGCAATGTTCTAAAAGATGGGTTCTAGGCCTACATATTATTCTAATAATTATCTTTTGTAGTAGAAAGACTCTGTTTGCTTCACTGCTGTTGCCCCTAAGTACGATGCCATAACTCAATACGCTATGAAAGCAGCCATAATATACTTTCATCAGGATATGATGGTCCACTATATTTAGCATTCTGCGCATAAGACAGCATACCACCGCAAGTCTTGAGGTTATGTGTAGGCCTAGGCCTACCTCAATTTTTATTTACTGTTTCTCCCTTTTACCCTTTGTGCCTTAGAGCACACTGTAATCACTTTCACATCACCTGGACCAGCAGTGCACTGTTACTGCCCGTTGCAAAACGCTCCCTTTACACTGCTAGTATAAATCCAAGCCTAGCTTTTGTTATGCCTTGTGTTTTGTGTGTGTTGTGTTCTACGTGTGCAGATTGATAAGTTGAAGCCCCTGACGGATAAGATTGTGGCTTATAACAAATTCTGAATTTACCAAGGTCATTGACAATGTAAAATTCGGTACCGTACTGTACCTTATGTATATTATAACTTTTTGTGATTTTGTGAGGCCTCGATTAATGATGGAACCCTCTGTTTAGATGGTGGAAGGAGAAGGAGTCACCCCGGCGTACATGCAGATGGCCCATTGGCGCTTCACTCTCAAGTTGCCAGAGTACCAGGGAGATAAAGAACTCAAGGAGAAGCTGATGACTGGAATAAAACAGGGAAACATGGCTCCATATTACAAAGAGGTGATTAAATTTATGTAAATACCATGGAACTTTTCTTTAATTAATTTTACTTTCATTTAATTCTAGGTGGTGAAACTTAAATCATTTATCAACCATTACCGATGGCATTTCATACTTACATCTCAGTGCTACTAACCGTTTAACTTTTGTACTGCTAGGTCTAACGTAAACAAATTATACAGTAATTGAGGACTTTTGGACTTGATTGTGTAGGCTACTTAACTCTTTATTTTTCTCTAAACTTTTTTTTGAAGCAATTCTCTGATTTCTACACCAAGAAAGATATTTTACATTCAAAGAAACTAATTTGTCTTAAAAGATTAATGTATGCAAACAAATTTAGAAAAACTAAAATTGTTTTTTGATGACTGTTACAGGTATGTGCAGACCTAGGCTGGGAGTTCGACACCAAGCTGTATGACGAGATGAGTGTAGCCAATACCAAGCGACTTGAGGAGTTGGAGAAGGAACATGAAAACAACGTAATGGACGAGGAAGACCAAAGCCAGCTGTGTGGAGTGTGGCAAAGCAAACTGGACTATCTGTGCTCCATCGGGGACAGGGAGAACGCAACGGTTAGTGTTCAATGTTTATTCTGTCATATATTTTTACACCAGTGGCATTAGCCTACTATGGTTATGTTGATGTGCAACGTGATTCTATTAAAACTTTATTAATTCAATCGCTTCAACGATACCGGTACCTTGATTAATGGTATCTAAATTCAAAATCTATCCCTCAGGGTTAAACCAAAGACCCTGAAATTGGTCGATTGAAATTATATCTCTTATCACTTAGTTACCCAGAATATTTGGTCGCACTGTGCAGAGGCTGCCTTTTGGACTGTAAAATGACTCTTAATTACAAAATAATTAATAAATGCACGCATATTAACTCAACACAAAATCTATTTCATGAATGTTTACAAAACAAAAACAATAGAAAAACATATGATAGTAAAAATATGTATAAATGAATTATAAACAGTCTTAGAGAAGACATAACAGTCTCCCCCACTATTTTGAACTTGCAGTGTATTATTATGAAAGCACAAAGTCCTTGTATCGGCCCGGCATTTGCCTTTGTCGCCTTGATCTTTCTTGATTCTCAGGAATATGGCTATTGTTCGTTTCTGTTCCCTGAACTACTGGAACCTCTGCATTGTTTGCTTTGGGAGTTGGTGGTCTTTCGGAAATTGACGGTCCTTCGGAAGTTGATGGTCCTTCGGAAGTTGATGGTCCTTCGGAAGTTGATGGTCTTACGGAAGTTGATGGTCTTTCAGGAGTTGATGGTCTTTCAGGAGTTGATGGTCTTTCAGGAGTTGATGGTCTTTCAGGAGTTGATGGTCTTAAGGGAGTTGATGGTCTTTCAGGAATTGACAGTCTTTCAGGATTAGAACAAGTAACAGCCTTAGAATTTTCTTTTGTGCTGTGTTTAGAAGCCCGTGGAACATCATATATGTGGATTGGTCCCGTGGTAACAATTTTTGGTTTTGGTATCAAAGTAGACCGCAATTGATCAATGTGTCGTTTAACAAGTCAGCCTGACTTGTCAAGGGAAACTAGATAGTGTCGAGTTCCCAACTTTTTGTTTACTTCTCCAAACTCCCAAACGTTCTTGTTGTTTATGAAGAGACGAACCTGAACTCTCTCCCCCTCGTTGAATGAACGTGCAGATGGAGCAAAATATGTAACGTACTTTCTCAGGTTTTTACCTTTGTACAGCATTCAGACCTTTTCGGGGATTTTAGGACTCAGATTGACTGAACACTTGCATGGATTACAACACATTTATTATTTCAGGACTATTTACACAAAAACTATACACAATATATACAAATCTCTTCTGTTCGTGAAGCCCAACCTGTGGCTTCTCCCACTTGCTCCACGGCTCTCAGGAGTCCTAGCAGCACGGCTCTACAGACTTCCCCTCTCGGCTCCTGCAGACCTTATCTCTCGGCTCCTTCAGTCCTCCCCTCTCGACTCCTGCAGTCCTCTCCTTCTCTCGGCTCTCGTAGTCCTCTCCTCGGCTCCTGCAGTCCTCTCCTTCTCTCGGCTCCTGCAGTCCTCTCCTCGGCTCCTGCAGTCCTCTCCTTCTCTCGGCTCCTGCAGTCCTCTCCTCTCGGCTCCTGCAGTTCTATCCTCTCAGCTCCTGCAGTCCTCTAGCTCCGTCTCGAGAAGTGCTGGGCGGCTCTACAACCAGAGCCCAAACGCAGCAGCTCCCTACGAGGTCGCCTGTCCCACTGTCGGATGCAGACTGCCCGAGAAGTGCTGGGCGAATCGCTGTCCCAAGCGCAGCAGCTCCTCGTGATGTCGCCAGCAACGCTGACGGATGTCGACTGCCCTCTCTCCTAGACGGCACTGCTCTTACATAGTGGAGGTGGGCCTCTTAATCCCCCTCCAGACGGATTCATGGTCCCGGGAGGCAGCTCCATTGGCCACCGGGGACTTAAACGGAAATAAAACGGATGCTGGGGCTCAACACGCCAACCAGCTGCACCGGGCTCAACACGCCTCTAGTGCCGGAACGGAATGTACCGGGCTCAACACGCCTCTAGTACAGGAACGGAATGTACCGGGCTCAACACGCCTCTAGTGCTGGGGACGGGATGCACCGAGCTCAACACGCCTCTAGTGCTGAGGAACGGGAAGCACCGAGCTCAACACGCCTCTGGTGCTGGGGGACGGGATGCACCGAGCTCACCACGCCTCTAGTGCGGGGGAACGGGAAGCACCGAGCTCAACACGCCTCTAGTGCTGGGGAACGGGATGCACCGAGCTCAACACGCCTCTAGTGCTGGGGGACGGGATGCACCGAGCTCAACACGCCTCTAGTGCGGGGACGGGAAGCACCGAGCTCAACACGCCTCTAGTGCTGGGGAACGGGATGCACCGAGCTCAACACGCCTCTAGTGCGGGTACGGGAAGCACCGAGCTCAACACGCCTCTAGTGCGGGGGACGGGATGCACCGAGCTCAACACGCCTCTAGTGCTGGGGAACGGGAAGCACCGAGCTCAACACGCCTCTAGTGCTGGGGGACAGGATGCACCGAGCTCAACACGCCTCTAGTGCGGGTACGGGAAGCACCGAGCTCAACACGCCTCTAGTGCTGGGGGACAGGAAGCACCGAGCTCAACACGCCTCTAGTGCTGGGGAACGGGAAGCACCGAGCTCAACACGCCTCTAGTGCTGGGGGACAGGATGCACCGAGCTCAACACGCCTCTAGTGTGGGGATGGGATGCACCGAGCTCAACACGCCTCTAGTGCTGGGGAACGGGAAGCACCGAGCTCAACACGCCTCTAGTGCTGGGGGACAGGATGCACCGAGCTCAACACGCCTCTAGTGCGGGGATGGGATGCACCGAGCTCAACACGCCTCTAGTGCGGGGAAGGGACCCACCGGTGGCGCCTACCGGCGGGGGCGGGCCCGGAGGCCCAACTCACGAAGTCCCCTAAGGATGCTCCTTATATAGGGCCAGAAAGTGCTTGGAGGGTGGGGGGAAGTACCCAGTACCGGCCCCCGGCGAAAGTACTGGGCCTTTTCCCTCAGCACTTTCCCTCAGTCCTTTTCCCTCATGTCACCGAGTACCTTTCCTGGTGTTTACCTCAGGTCTTCTGAAACACTTCATTACACTCCCCCCTTTCTTTATGAAAACAAAAGAAAAGAAAAAAAACGTCTTTCTTAAAACCAATATCCCATTCCAGGTCAAAATAAATAATGATTTCCTTTCAACTAACAACAACTCTTCAAATATGGAAAAAAAAATCTTCTTCACAAAATGCAAATCATAACAAAAACTTCTCAAACGACATTTGAAATGAAACCAATTTTTACAGTTTTCCCTTTGTGTCTATAATACTTTACTTTCATTGTCCTATCTCTGAATTTGCGCTCCCTCCTTTGAGGCTTCTGGTCCTCCCTTTGCCATTTCTTAAGCGAAAATGATTTTTCTCTCTCAAATGTAGCATTTACGATCTGGGGTTTCCCCGGTATGGTTCCTTTAAAGTCTCTGGTATTAGGAACAAAATTTGATCCTCTGTCTGGTAGCAATGTCTCATCTCTTTCAACGTAAAAATTTAGATTCAATTTAGGTTCGGTAAAATAGATTACAGGACAACTGTCAGTGGTACTCACGGTTTCCTTCTCTGCCTCTGGCACCTTTTGTATCGTGGTCATCGCTTCTTCTTTACCAACTATTGCTGACGAAGCAGTTGTCTTACATGGGGGCTCCAGATAACTCTTAGTGCAGCTACTGATGGAGTGCTTTTCATCCATGGTCGCAGAAGTCGGTGGACACACAATTTTCTTCAGCACCTCCTGTAACTCATTAACCTTTCTTTTATAAATCCATGATGATCCAAGATTCACCTCATCTTTTTGTGTATACTGACTTTTTATTTTAGATACAACTCCAGACATTTTGTTCATAATTTTCTTAAAATGTCCTCAGTAACAATGAGTCCTCCCCTTGGTCTGTTTCACAAGTGTCAGTCAATCAGGTCCCTGTTCGGGCGCCAAAATATGTAACGTACTTTCTCAGGTTTTTACCTTTGTACAGCATTCAGACCTTTTCGGGGATTTTAGGACTCAGATTGACTGAACACTTGCATGGATTACAACACATTTATTATTTCAGGACTATTTACACAAAAACTATACACAATATATACAAATCTCTTCTGTTCGTGAAGCCCAACCTGTGGCTTCTCCCACTTGCTCCACGGCTCTCAGGAGTCCTAGCAGCACGGCTCTACAGACTTCCCCTCTCGGCTCCTGCAGACCTTATCTCTCGGCTCCTTCAGTCCTCCCCTCTCGACTCCTGCAGTCCTCTCCTTCTCTCGGCTCTCGTAGTCCTCTCCTCGGCTCCTGCAGTCCTCTCCTTCTCTCGGCTCCTGCAGTCCTCTCCTCGGCTCCTGCAGTCCTCTCCTTCTCTCGGCTCCTGCAGTCCTCTCCTCTCGGCTCCTGCAGTTCTATCCTCTCAGCTCCTGCAGTCCTCTAGCTCCGTCTCGAGAAGTGCTGGGCGGCTCTACAACCAGAGCCCAAACGCAGCAGCTCCCTACGAGGTCGCCTGTCCCACTGTCGGATGCAGACTGCCCGAGAAGTGCTGGGCGAATCGCTGTCCCAAGCGCAGCAGCTCCTCGTGATGTCGCCAGCAACGCTGACGGATGTCGACTGCCCTCTCTCCTAGACGGCACTGCTCTTACATAGTGGAGGTGGGCCTCTTAATCCCCCTCCAGACGGATTCATGGTCCCGGGAGGCAGCTCCATTGGCCACCGGGGACTTAAACGGAAATAAAACGGATGCTGGGGCTCAACACGCCAACCAGCTGCACCGGGCTCAACACGCCTCTAGTGCCGGAACGGAATGTACCGGGCTCAACACGCCTCTAGTACAGGAACGGAATGTACCGGGCTCAACACGCCTCTAGTGCTGGGGACGGGATGCACCGAGCTCAACACGCCTCTAGTGCTGAGGAACGGGAAGCACCGAGCTCAACACGCCTCTGGTGCTGGGGGACGGGATGCACCGAGCTCACCACGCCTCTAGTGCGGGGGAACGGGAAGCACCGAGC